CTAGGTAATAAAAAGAACTGGAAATGCAAATACCTGAATCTGACACTAATTTGTTAGTGACCTCGAACAAATTACTATCTTTCCAGACTTGTTTCTTACCTGTCAAAGGATGCGAGGCCAAAGCCATGAGTTCCAACAAATAGTAAAGACCAAACCCAGTAGACTGCTATATGTTGCCTGGCAGTTCTCTAAGACAATACCACAACAAGAATACTCCAAACTGAGCTGAAAATCCTAACCAAGGAAGGTTTGCAAACAATAGTGGCCTCAACCCATTTCAAAAGTTTTAATGCAAACATCTGTACCTGAAACCCCTCAGGATCTTCTCTCTGAAGACTATCTTACCCCTTTACCATTAAGGTTTCAAGTAATAAAAACTAGCCTGTCTCAAGAAATGACTAAACATTATGAAAGCTCTTGAAAAGTTCCTTCCAGCTCTGAAATTCTCTCAATCTCTCTCGCAACCCCCTCAAAGAACTTATATACATATATGCATAAACAATGGACACAAACAATAGTGTGGTGAAGGCCTGGGGTGGGGGAGGGGGGGAAGACTGGGAGGAGGGAGGTAAAGGAGGAGTAAATATTATATTGGAAGACATCTGTAATACTGGCAACAATTAAATTAAATTAAATAGGGGGGGTAGAGATTTTAACAAACATGAAAGTCAATAAACAAAGACATTGTAGGTGTTCAATATTTATTAAATGAATAATTTACAAAGTCATTATGACATTTTTATGCACTTGTAATACCAGTAAAATTACAACCTATAAAAGATGAATGTTTAAGGTCAATATGTCTTTCAAAACAAAACAAAAACTAAGGTTTCATTAAATCCTTGAGTAAAACTTGATACCCCAGAGCAGGGGTCCTCAAACTACGGCCCGCGGGCCACATGCAAATACAAATATTGTATTTGTTCCCATTTTGTTTTTTTACTTCAAAATAAGATATGTGCAGTGTGCATAGGAATTTGTTCATAGTTTTTTTTTAAACTATAGTCCGGCCCTCCAACGGTCTGAGGGACAGTGAACTGGCCCCCTGTTTAAAAAGTTTGAGGACCCCTGCCCCAGAGAATGCTAATCTTTCTACCAAAGTATGCTGGCCCTGTATCTAATATTGAAGGAAAGAGGAGTAAGCAAAGAAACCTTTTACCCAAACAGGATTGTTTTATAAACCTGTTTATCAGAGATGGAAGGGTGAAAAGATCAACGAGTCAAAACAACCTGATTCTCAATCTGGGTTCTAACACTAAACTGTGATGAGATGACCATCTTCCTTTCCTCCATGTAGGGTGGTTTGATGAGCAAATGGAAGGACATATAGGAAAGAATTCTGAATACAGTACAGCACTACATAAATGAAATTTAAAGATATTGCTTTTACTGAATTCCTACCCCCACCCCACAAATCACCAACAGTACAAAAAAATTAATTTGGCAATAATAAATTAGCATTCTTTAGCATTTTGAAATTTATTTTATTTTATTTTTTTTAGAGAGAGAAAAACACTGATGTGATAGACAAACATCAATTGGTTGCCTCTGATACATGCCCCAAAGACCAAACCCAAAACCTGGGTATGTGCCCTGACTGGGAATCGAACCCACCACCTTTTGGTGCCAGGGACAAAGCTCCAACCAACTGAGCCACACTGGCCAGGGCCATATATTATATGCTTACAAATACATACTTAACAGTAATGGCTACCATTTAGTGAACATTTACTATGTAAAAGCCACTGTGTAAAGAGCTTTACAGAAATTAGCTCATTAAAGCTTCTCAGCAATGCTTTTTAAAGAAAAACAAAAAACCTGAGTAGCATTGCCAATATAACCAATAAGATAGCTGAAGAAATACAGATTAAATTTAATAATGTAGTACTATTACAAAATTATTTTATTCTCAAAAAAGGTGGTTTCTGGGATGAGTAAATACTAAATATATTTAAATTTAACAGTCTATAATATCCTATGTAAATTTGTCATCAGCAAGTAATCATTTTAGTCTTCTGAAATCTTCAATTATATAACAACTATTATTTTAAAAACAGTAGTTTCTTTTAAAAACATACACATCTACACACACACACACACACATATATACATGTACAAAGAGATAAAGAGAAGGTTTTGCCTAGTAATGAAGTGGCAGCTTCATCTGGCTAAAATTTCTTGAGACAAGTAATCCATCAAATTAGAAATTGGCCATGATGTTAAAGCACATTTTAGCTTAAGTGCTTATTAATAATGGCCACAGCAATAACTGATTTCATACTTAATTTGAGCACAGGACTTCTCAAAAAACTAGGACTGTGTTGGAAAATTAATTTAAATTCTTTCTGTTTACTCCCTAGTGATATCTTCTTTGCTAGAATTCAAATTCTCAGAGAGCTGGAACTGAGTCTCTCATCCACAATTCTATAGTTCAGGCATAATTCCTGGCATATGGTAGGTGTCTAATAAGCATTTACAGAAATTATAGAATTTTTTTACTTCTATTTATTTCTGATAGTTCACACATGTATGCAGGAGGTCCTCTCCAAATTATGACTTATACAACCTGTTTCAAAATTCCAACTTTTTTCAAAGCTTATTTAAAATAAATAAAATTTCCTTTTTAATACCTATGTTCCTCTTTTACCAAACCTTTATTGAACATATTACTTCCCAGGCACATTGTCAAACATTTTCAAAAAAGACCATGAAAAACTCATATTTCCTTAGAAACTGATAGCATAACAAGGGAGTAAATGCATATATGTAACAGAACTATAGTATGCTAAATGATATAATAAAGGTAAACATCACAAATTAATTTTGAGGGACTATTTGGATCCTAGAAAGATCTCATAACATTAACCAAAGAGCCATCCTCCCTTCTCTGATTAGCTTGTCCTCTGAGAAAAAATACTCAGCTTCCTGAGAAAGCATGAATCAGTACTGGATTTATGAGAAAATGCTAAAGCTAGATGGAGTACAGAATGAGAGATATGCACAAAAGACACACAAAAGAAGGCAAGTTTGGGATGTGCCTAGATAGGAGAGTATCAGAGGAAATAGACACATGAGCTGGGTCTTTCTTTTTTCTCTCTCTCTCTTTCTTTTTAAATATATTTTTTATTGATATCAGAGAGGAAGGGAAAGGGAAAAACAGAAACATCAATGATGAGAGAGAATCATTGATTGGCTGCCTCCTGCACGCCCCCTACTGGGGATCGAGCCTGCAACCTGAGCATGTGCCCTTGACCAGAATTGAACCCGGGACCCTTCAAGTCCGCAGGCTGACACTCTCTCTATTCACTGAGCCAAACCAGCTAGGGCATGAGCTGGGTCTTGAAGTATAGTTAACTAGGCAGGCAAAATGATAATGAAATTCTAGAAAGATATCAGTGACTAATCCTGTTAGTCTGACTATGAACAACTAGATGCAGTAAAAAGTACAAGATGAAGGAAAATTCCATTATTTTCTTCATGTCTATCTAATTTCTATACTTGTTAGGTGTCTGCTAATTTGTATAATTTATCTTAAAAGCAGTAAGTTCACAGATAAATGAAGATTAGTTCAATTTTAATAATTAAATTTAATTTGTTGCATTAATTTAAAACTCAGTAGTTCAAAGAAATGCACTAAATGAATTCTAAATTGTTTTTCAATTAAACAATTTCAAATAGCATAAATCTCTATTTAGTTTTAGTATATTTTATTTTTTGATAGATCCTCAATGTCAACCATCTTAATTTTAAAAGTCATTCAACAGAGATCTTATAATTTAGTTGAGAAATATATTTTATAATATGCTATACTCTTTCATGACTTCAGTAGTTAATTTCTCATTTTTAGCTGTATTATATAAATTTCAATAGTCTGGATAACAAGACCTAAATAAGTGGTGGTAAGTGAGACAATAAAAATAAAAAACATAAAACGTTCCAAAGTTGTTTCTTTAAAATGCTAAGGTACTCATGTATAACATCATCTTTGAAATAATGCTAAAACATGAAACTAATATGTCAATTTTAAAAACAATAAACATAGCCCTAGCCAGCACTGCTCAGTGATTAGAGCGTCGGCCGTCACTGGAGGGTCTCAGGTTTGATTCCTGGTCAAGGGCAAGTACCTGGGCTGCAGGTTCGATCCTGATCCATGTGTCCCTCTCACATTGAGATCTCTCCTCCCCACCCTTTTTCTCCCCCTCCCCTCTCCCTTTCACTCTCTGAAAATCAATGGAAAAAAATCCTCGGGTGAGGATTAACAAACAAAATGATAAAACTAAATATGTTCAAAAACTGAGAAGAAAATTGTATTTCTTATTTGCACACGTATGCTTTTCAAAATATATATGACAAGTAGAAGAAAGAAAATTAAAAAATATATGAAAAGAACAAATAAAAATAAATACAGTAATAGAAAAGAAATAAGATACTATGATCTTTAAGTGTATTCTACTTTAATCTTCAAAATAACCACATATTGTATTATAACATTACTGTGCTATAAAAATACTACTGCCATGTTTAAGGATGAAGAAAGTACATCTAAATCTCAGTTACTAGTCTAACTGTAAAAATTGTGTTTTTAATCAATTAACACAGCTTCAAAATATAAAGCTGTAAAAAATAATGCTAAAACGAATATATACTAATAAATTGCAAACAAAACAGCTGATAATATTTTTGTTGTTGTTAATCCTCACCTGAGAGCACTTTACCACGGATTTTCAGAGAGACTGGAAGGGAGGGGGAGAGAGAGAAACACTGACATGAGAGAGACACATCCATTGGCCACCTACTGCAAGAGCACCAACCGGGAGGGAGATAGAAGATGGGCCAGGATTCAAACCTGCAACCCAGGTATGTGCTCTTGACCTGAAATCGAACCAGAGGCCCTTCGGTCTATGGGCCGACACTCCACCAGTGATGGCGAACCTATGACACGCGTGTCAGAGGTTACACATGAACTCATTTTTTTGGTTGATTTTTCTTTGTTAAATGGCATTTAAATATATAAAATAAGTATCAAAAATATAAGTCTTTGTTTTACTATGGTTGCAAATATCAAAAAATTTCTATATGTGACACGGCACCAGAGTTAAGTTAGAGTTTTTCAAAATGCTGACAGGC